CGTCTTACTTCTCTTTCTTACAGATCAGAGCATCAAGGTAATCCAATTAATACTGGTGTTTCACAAGGCTGTGTGCTATCACCAAAGCTGTTTCGTCTGCATTTCTATAATATATTGTTAACCAGTAACATTCATGGCTATGCGTATGACTACATTGCTGTGAGTCCGGTTTCCTTCGGGGTCGCTCAGCTGGTGATCTTCTGGGTTACCTAACTCATAGATGGGTGGGCAGTAGAGTCCAAGAAGGAGGTGTTGGGCGTTAGTTTGGACATGGCGAAGGCTTTCGGACGGATTTGGCAGAAAGCGCTATTTACGAAGCTGCCTTCCTATGGAATTTCTGAGAAATTGTGAAATTGGATCTACATTCTTCTAAATTGTAGCATCAAGGTCACCGTAGACGGTACCTGCTTCGATTACAAGCCCATTAACGCTGGTGTTCCACAAGGCTGCGTGCTTTTACCAACGCTCTTTCTTCTGCACATCAATGATATTATGTTACAAACCGGTCACATTCATTGCTATGCGAATGACAGCACTAATGATGTTCTATACATCGGCCGTGCCAATATTTACCGGAAAAGCGTCGCCGAGTACCGGAACAAACTTGTGTCGGAAGTCGATTATTTGTTGAGCAAAGTCTCGGATTGGGGGCGACTAAATCTAGTCCAGTTTAATAATCCCCAGAAGACACAAGTATGCGCGTTTACCATTGTGGCCGTGGAAGGAAAAGGGGAGATCTCCCGCCGGGCAAGGTGTTCTGCCCGGGGAGCGGCCAGCACTCCTTGTGATAGTTCGGAGATGTTCTATATATACTGTTTCTGATTCGGAATGTTGATAGCGTGATTTAGACTTCGGTGTATTTCGATTGTGGCGCGACGACAGCGCCGCTACATCACCCCCTGCTCAGACCGGAGGTCGATAGTGCAGTTGAGTTGTCGACGAATGTGCAAGTGCCAGGAGATTGCCTTGTAGTCTGCGGTGAGTCGAGAAGAAGGCAAGTAATCTGCGAGAGTGCCGTGAAGCAGAGGCGAGCATTAAGGCTCAGAGCCGTGCCGAACACTGTATAGCGCAGAGAGTAGCTTGAAGGAACAGGAAGCATTATTATTCCAGTGCTGCGATGAACCTTGTGAAGCTAGATGGCTTGCAGGATATGAAGACTGCAGACGATATCTGCTCGGGAGCGAATGGGTGGGGTATTCTACGACAATGATGAAGCTTGAAGTTTCCGAAGGTTGTCTGGTTGCGTGTTCAGATCACGTCGGGGTCACCACTGTGGCCGTGGAAGGAAAAGGGGAGATCTCCCGCCGGGCAAGGTGTTCTGCCCGGGGAGCGGCCAGCACTCCTTGTGATAGTTCGGAGATGTTCTATATATACTGTTTCTGATTCGGAATGTTGATAGCGTGATTTAGACTTCGGTGTATTTCGATTGTGGCGCGACGACAGCGCCGCTACACCATTAAAACGAACCCCCTTATCGTATATCCTCACTGTGAATGCACTCTTCTTGTTGCATCAGCCAGTAGTGGAATCCCCGGCGGCGATATATCGAATGACGTGCAGTTTCGTGGTCGCTTGAAAGACAAGGCCGAATTAACATCTAAAAAGGTTGGCGTGCTAATCAGAGCGGGACCGTGTTTCATGCAAACACACTGCCTGCAACTTTACTCTCTGGGCCGGGGCTTATCAGTACCAGCCCCACTTGACCACATCCAGCGTAGACGACCGACTTCTCTCCGATCGGCTTGATTCACTGATGCTGCAAAGATATGTTGCATCTCTTTGCATTTTCTACCGCATTTATTACGGGGAGTACTCTGAGAATTTGTTCGGAATAATTCCAGTCGCCAAATTTCACCTGCGCGTAACGCGACAAAATTCACATTACCATTAAAACATCTGGATGCTTTTTGGTCCTATACTGTGTGATTTACAAGGAGTTATCTTCTTTGCACGACTACTTTTTGGAATCTTTTATCACTGTCGATACTTCCGGATCCATACGACTTAGTGACCTGGAAGAAACGAGCTTAAGCTTAAAACTAAAACTTTTGCTCGCTAAAGGCCAGCAACCTCCCTGCTATTCCCCTGATGTTGCAGTTGTTTACGGGCGGTGGTCGACACTTAACATCTAGTGAACCGCATGCTCGTTTGCCTCCCTTTCTTTAAAAAACCGGAGTTTTTATTACTTTTGGTTGTATTAGGAAGGTACTGCCTACCTCCAGTTTTAATTTCTATCTGTCGGTTCTTTAGACATACTTTACGCGGTTTTTTATAGGATAGGGTGACAAGCGAGCACACAGTCCACCTGATGGTAAGTGGTTGCTGTGGCTCATAGACATCTATCCTCGATTACGATTTAAAATGCGGATACGTTGTCACCCGTGCGGACTAAGACGGAATGCCTCGTTTCCAGTAAAAAGGGTCTCCGGTCCTCTACACTCACCATACTAAACACAGCCGGCCTATTAATAAACACAGACTTGAGATTAACTTTACTCCTAGTTTAAAGCTTAAAATATCAAATTTCAGTATTAATAAACATAGAGTAAGGAGGGAGTAAACTAATCCGAATCTACTCTCGGAATAAAAGTTAATCCTTGGCGGTACCTAGTTTAACGACTGAGTAAGCATAGACTAGTTGCGTATTTTGACATTTTGTAAAATAAAACTATACGGTTACGCGCGTTGTGTTGTTAGTTGTTACACGTGTTTAATTCATAAGTTGTAAGTTCGGATATTGTTTGTTAATTTAGTTCATTCTTAACAACATCAAGATGAATAGAGATTATTTGATTGATGATATGAGAGTCATAGATGAAATTAATGAAGTTGTTAATCAGATTCCATTGATGAGACGTGTAAAATTTTATAAAATTCGTAAGAATCCATTGGAAGAACTTCAAGAAGCCGAATTTAAAATTAAATACAGATTTTCCCGAAGTACTGCCGTTTTCCTTATTGATATGGTAAAAAATGATTTAGCTGGTGATTCAAGAGGTGGATTTATTCCACCCTATCTGAAAGTTTTGACTGCAATAAGAACATGGGCCCGTGGAGAGGTAATTATAACTATGCACCTACTTACTGTCGATTTCATTTACATTAAAATCTTTTTTTATCAATAGTTTTAGGAATTAAGTACATAGTTATTAGTTGTTATGATTTCTAATTCAATTATTTTTGTTTTCAACAGATTCAAGATGATGCAGGGGATCTAAGTGGAATGAGTCAGCCAACAATATCACTTGTATGCAAACAAGTTGCTTTAGCACTAGTAACAAAGAGAACCCAATGGATTAAAATGCCAAGAAGTGATGTGGAGCAGAACAATGTGATTGCAGGCTTTTATTCAATATGTGGATTTAGACAAGTGATAGGCGCTATTGATTGCACACATATTCGAATCCCGAAAGTCGGTGGAAATATCGGACAGTACTATATTAACAGGAAAGGATCCTTACAGCTCAATAAATGTACAAGTAAGTTTTATAGCGCCTAACTAACCCATCTTTTTTTTTTTTTTTTTTTTTTTTTTTTTTTTTCCGAGGAAATTGCCATATATGTACTTAAAGTTATTTTTCTTAGATTCAGTACAGGTATCATCACCTCAATCTATTATTTCATATTAAAGAAGTTATGAGTGCTTTGTTCCAGGTTGTGTCAAATTCTAATTTGGAAATCATGGATATAGTGGCACATTGGCGAGGCAGCACACATGACTCAAGAATTTTTAGCGAAAGTCGCATAAAACAAAGGTTTGAGCAGGCAGAATTTAAAGGCAGACTTCTAGGAGATTCTGGTTATGCTTGTACTCCTTATTTGTTTACACCTATCCTGCGTCCTAATACACAGAAGGAAGAAATGTATAACCGGTCACATATCAGGACCCGAAACACTGTGGAACGATGCTTCGGAGTGTGGAAGCAAAGGTTTCGGTGTTTACTGCGAGGACTAAACACCAAATTAAAGCATACGAAACTATATATTGTTGCATTGGCTATACTGCACAACATTGCAGTGCAAAAGCAAGATCTGCTTGAGGATATAGTAGAAGGAGATGATGGAAATATACCAGTCACACAATCAATAAATAACTCCCTAAGAGGAAATTCTGTACGGGCAGCATTTATTAATAAAAACTTTTAAAATAAATATACAATATTTACATGTACAAAAGATTTTATTTATGCCCAAAAAACAAAACAAAAATGGTTATTCAATTAATTTCGCTCTTCACGCACTTTTCTTAACTCTAAAATTTCTCTTTCGAGTATGGCAATTTTTTTCTTTGTGTATTTCAATTTTTATTGCATGTTCCTCTTCAGCCATTTCTAGACGTCTCCTGTGCTCTTCTTCTTTTAGCTTTTTGCTATGGCTTAGCATGTTATTAACATAATCATCATGGTTCTGTAAAAGACAACCAGTGTAATAAATAAGATTATATGTTGATAGATAAACAGAGCAAGGTGAACAAAACTAGCAGCATAAATATTACCTTTTTATTATTTGACATGAGTTTTCGTTTGGGCACCTGCAAAAATAATAAGAATTAGGTTTGTAAAAAAGTTTTCAAGGATTTTTCACTGGCAAATAAATAATCATTCATCATAAAACTCAAAATTGAAAAGTGCCTCTCAATAAATAACACACCTTCTTTGCTGAAGTCATGCCCATATTTTTGTTCATTGGAGTGGCCCCAATCGCATCTTGAGATACCTGTAAGATATTGTAAAAATTTAAAGTACACCATAGATTTCATACACATCTATGTACCTATCACCTATATCATTGTTGTAAGCTCACCACTGATGAAGTAAATTCCTGATCATTCTCTTGTGCATCAGTATTTTCTATAATGTAGTCCTAAAAAATGTAAAAATTGTGTTTAATATTTTAGTATTCAGAATGCAATACTTTCTGCTATATAATATCATAGATCAATATATATTGTGACTTACAGCTATCTGCTGATTTTCTGGGTTAATATTCTCATCCACATTTTATGTATCCAAATATTTGACCACATATGTCATTGGTTTTACATCCTGAAATAAATAATAAAGGTAATAACATGTAAGGCACATACACTAAAGGCAATTTTGTAAGTCATAAATGTTATTCATTAATACTGTCCTACATTTTTGACCAACTGACCTGTAATGTGTTGTCACATGTCTCGCTGGTAGTTGCCAATATAACTTTATTTGATGAGGAACTTTCGATCTATTGAAAACAGAATAACAATTATGCTAAATATGCTAAATATAAATAAATATTAATGATTAATAAATGAATGAATTGAGGACTTTGTCTTCTAAAATGTTATAAGGAGTAATAAAGAATAAAAAAATGTACTCACAATCCCATCCGAATCATATATATTATGATCCCTCAACAGCTCTGCAGGATTCAGCAAATTTTTAATGTATATTATTCCATCATTAGGAGTTGCTGGTCTTGCCCCACCACCTGTTTTGGATAATTCTTTTTTGAAGGTGCTGTATTTCTTCCGAGCATTTAACTTCATTGTTTTCCATTGTATTTTCAGCTGACTTAATTGACGATGTCGGCTATTTAACTCATTAAACCTATAAGAATAGAAGATAAAATTAGTAGTATGAATCTTTTATTGGTTATTGTAATTTTAGTTATTGGGTTACATTTAATATGACTGTTCTGTATTTGAACCTACTTTTCAAACATTTGTCAACGTTACGATTATATTGCATAACAGATTTGGAACAAATTAAGCAGAATTATAGATCATGCTCTGAAAAAAGAAAACAGGGCACCTGAAAAGTCTTGTTTTATAGGATAAAAAACCTAATTAGGTCATAAATACAGAAAACCATAATGATTTCTTAAACTTACACGAACACTACACATTGAATAAAACCATATTTACAGATTTTATCATGTTAATAACTTATTTTTAATTCTAGACGTTTTGGGTGCTTTACAGCACCCATGGTCACGGGGGGGACTGAAATGTTTGATGTTCCAATGTCATAGTTAGCCCAGCTACCTTCAGTTTTTGAATATTAATTTTTTTGTCCGATCTATGCAAAACGAACTTACTGTATCTTGAAGTCTTGCAGTGGTATGCTTGGGTTTGGGTTTAATTTTGTTAGTTATAGGATCCCAAGCAGATAGCAACAGCATCCATCTTCTCTATTGAAATTAGGATGTTTACTAATTTCAATAGCCTCGCTTATCATCCTTGGTAGGAACCCATATTTTTGCGAGGATTTGTAGTTTATGAAATCAGATAGATGTAATGGTGGGGATAATCTTGAACATGTTCACTAAAATCCGTAAATATAATTTTATTCAATTCAGAAAACTAATTATCTTACTTTTTTGTGAACCTCTTCCCACGCTTTTGTTTTTATTTTAATTGTATTCGTATCTAGACATTTATTTTCAATAACGTTCGCATATTCTCTAAGCACAGAACGTAATAAAAGCTGAAACAGTAAAAGAATATTAATAAAGACTACGGTACAACGATAAATAGTACATTAAAGAAAACTATTGACTGAAATTACCTTTTCTTCTTCATCCCAATTTTGAGAGCGAATGCGTTTTTGATCCATTTTGAGTCGAAAATAATATTAAAAGTGATTATATTTAGGAACCAACTTAGTTTTTTCGCCGAGTCCGAAAACAACACGAGGAACAACAAACTCAAAATATTGCCTGTCACTGTCATTAATGTCATCATCAAACGTTGAGTTCATTCACCAATCATTCACTGACTCACTCTTTTTACTTTTAAAATAAGTGGGTTGCCATATCGCACGCGTTAATCCCGGCGTAAGAAATGTATAGTTTGTCCGAGGTTACTCCATGTTTATTAATAACACTGTAATAACGGAGTTAATACTCAGTTACTCTGAGATTAACTAGTCCAAGTGTAACTTCGAATTAAGGTTGGAATAAGCAATTTTTATTAATAAGACAGAGCAAATATAAGCTGTTATTTTACGCTGGTATTATGTGAGAGTGTGGTCCTTCCCCGGTCAAGCCGAATAAGTCGAATAAGTCGAATAAGTCGGCTTGACTGGGGAAGGATATACTACTAATATAAACTACTACTAATAACTATACTACTAATATAAAAAACAGCATTACACTACCATGTAAAAAAATGCGGTTATTTAACATCAATTTAATTTAATTAATACCGATTTAACATCAATAAATGAATTCATCATCAATAAATTAAAAGCGACAGTAGCCTAATGGCAGGGCGCGGACCGCGAACTCAAAAAGGTCGTGGGTTCGAATCCGCCATTCGACTACTGGCGTGAACCACTCGTAACACAAGAAATTTAAGCTTACCACGTATGGTTAAGGGGAACGTTAGTAATGTTTATAGCATTGTTAATATTCTTTTTTAATTAAAAAAAATTGAAAAAAATGAATTTTTGTTTTTACTCTGGCCGCTAATAATTTTATTTTTCTAGCTATAATGAAAAAAGTTTGCCCACACCTGAACTACATTTAAAATTTCCAATCCAACCGATAACCAAATGCAGAAAGTCAAAGGCAGCGGGAAAAATCATCACAAACTTTCGCTATTACTTTGTAATTAGGGCTCAGAAGCAATTTTGGGGAATTGTTTCCGTATTTCAAAGGAATTCCTGATACCAAATTCCAATCAGACGTCAATTTTAATGAATGTGCAATCTAAATTATATTGATTGACTGACGACTCCGTGGCGCAGTGGCTTAGCTATGAGTATGAAGCGCTGGGGTCGCGGGTTCGAATCCCGCACGGATCATGTATTTGTATGGCCTACAAATAATTGTTCCGGGTCTGGATGTTTGTCCTTGTGCAATTTATGTTTGTAAACTGCCCCCATGATACAGGAGAAAATCCTAGTGTAGGGGTAACGTCTTTAATAAAAAAAATGATTTATTTCGTAGCAATATTAGAAACATTGTAAGATTTGACAGTGCAAGTTTGGCGGCAACTCGACTGGCGGCGGAATGCTACTCCCCTATTTTTATATTGGTTTGCAGTGGAATTTGATGCATAAAAATTATTTTATGTAACACAACATGTCTGAGCATGAAAACTATTGTTGAAAACGATTTAACTGGTGATCCGATGGTGATGTATCTGCTTAGGCGCCATGAGATTCTATTGTCATCGACTGTCTGCTAGCTCAAACTGCCGTCACAATCTTCTCAAAAATTCGCAATGTGACGCATCAACATATTGTGAAGAAGTTTTCAAACAAATTATTATAAAAGATAATATTTTATTACTTGACACTAGCAAAAGTGAAACCGTACCAGTTCATTACCAAAAATATAAAAAAAAGATTTGACATTGAATTTCGTACAAATAATGAAAATATTATATCATTATGTGTGCCATATGGTGATGACTCATGAGAATCCATCACCGTGTTTCAGTCATCGGTCGTAAGACTGGATTATAGGAAATACCTGAAAAATGTTATCGCTGCCGATAGATGGCAGTATAATCATCTCGTTTACACTGGACATAAATTTTGCCGAGCGTAGTTTATAATCTTTCTCAAGCTTAAACTAGAGTACATACGAGTATGTTTCAATTAAGTAATGCGGACAATATGCGAATTAAAATTTAAAGAATATTTCTGAGACGTGATCTTTTATTGCTTATTGTGAGATAATTCACAATCGCAAAGGATTCGAGATGAATTAAAATAAATAGTTTTGAATTGTGTGTAAAAAAGCGGTAGTTTTATTAAAATTTAAGTAATATTGACGACATAATAGTTAAACGGATTAAAAATCTGAAGTGGCAATGGGCTGGACATATATCTCGAAAGACCGAAAACTGATGGGGAAGTAAATTTTACGAATGGTAGCCTCGTACCGGTAAGCAAGTAAAGTAAAGTATATTACTCACTAGTAGGAATGACAACCTTGTAAGATATGCAGCAATTTGATGGATGCAGGTGACTCAGACCCGTTCTTTATGTGCGTTCCTTGGGAGAGGTCTATGTTCAGCAGTGGACTTGTGAAGAGCTGTAATTATGGTGATAATGAGTATTATATATATTCTATCAAAACATAAACTTGAATAAGGGGCAAATTTCAGTACAAACGACGTCCAGCTTTGTTGGCTTCACTGATAAAAGTTCTGTTTTTTGAATCGGCGCCAAGTTCTACAACAGTTGCTTTAATCATACAATCTTTAGAAATACACAACGTTAAACAACAGGTAGGGGAAGGTCGGGTAAAGTGGTCACCCTAAGGCTTGAATGACTACCTATTAGATAAATATCAAAAAAAAGTTACATTTTTAATATATTCTCTCAAACTTAAGTAGTTTTGACATTACATTCTTATTTTGACTTATATTAAGACATTTTATAGTATTTTTAAGTTTAAAACCGAAATGGGAAATTGACCGACCACTTTACCTTCCCAAGATGAGGAAAATGGCCTACATGAACCCACAAAGGGAATAAAGTGGCCTAGTCTCAATAAAATGCAGTTATTCTTGGATTAATTTAAGTTTTATTTAAATTTGAAACAGAAAATAATCAAATATGACTAAGGGACTAAACATTTATTCATTAATCATTATTTTCCATTGCGATTAATCACACAAAATATTCTTAAGAACAAAATTCACATTTCTTCGTTTCTCATAGCTGTTATAGCTTTTTCGAAACGTTAGTTTATATGTATTTGGCATATCTAAAACACACCAAAACATTATTTATATTTCCAAGAAAACTTAGCACTAAAGTGGCCTAGCTAGGCCACTTAACCCGAAACGGCACGCGACGGAATTTTTTCTTAATAAAAGGGTATATTGTTTCTCTTTACCGTGAAATAAACAGTTCATTAGAGGAGTAAACTGATAAAACATTACATTGTTTTGTACTTATAATGAACGCAGTAAATTATTACAATGTTTAAACCACTTACCTTAGATCAGAGACCGTAAAAACCACCTTTTTTTGTCATAAAATCTGTTTGCGTGAACTGAGCGCATCGCTGTTTACTGGAGCAATATGGCGTCGGTTAATGAATAATTTCCATAAGCCATTGACAAATGGCGCTACTTAGTTGGTTCTTAAAAAGAAGGTGGCCACTTTACCCACCTGGGCCACTTAAACGGACCTCCCCTACATCTGAATGTCACAGTAATGTACTGAAACAAAATAATCAGATTTTTTCTGAAATAAAAGTATTTAGTACCATTCCAAAATAATTAAAATATTTAAGCTATAAAACTATAAACCATAATTTTAACCTTTTAATGCAGACGTCAATTGGGGTGATCCATTTTTGTTTAGTTAAAACATTGCCCCCACACTAAGATTTTTCTCCTGTATTATGGAGGCTATTTACATTTGTAAATTATACACGGACACAGCCATGGTAGCTCAGATGATTAACGCTCCCTGTAAATACAACAGAACGCGAGTAACCCGGGTTCGATCCCTGCCAGTACTAATGAAACTTTTTGTTGCAATTTTAAGTGCTGATTTACCACGTACACGGTGGTGAAGG